CACAAACCCAAAGGACGGACCTCCCTGAAACACTAAGCTCTGTGGTCAAATGAGTGTTAATGGCCAGCACAAATTAAGTGTCGTTCACTTACCCCTAGGGTGGATTTGGCCAATATTTACAGATAATAACCAGCCCATAGTTAACACTATCAATGTTGACCTTCTTCCTATGACCTTTGCTGCTTGAGCTGTAGAGTAAGTCTCAGCAGAAGATGTCCAGCCCTTGGCACAGACATCAGCGCGTGGCGCCTCTCTCACCCGCTTTGACGGCCTGCGTAGGGCAGCACGGGGCTCCCTGGGCACAAGGACACACAGCCCGGCACCTGCGAGGTGTGTGGCAGAGGGGAGAGAGCCCCATCGCACACACGTACCTGTCACTCCAGTGGTTTGCTCTTTTTTGTACCATTACTGAGGATTCTTGCAACAGATTTTCACTGGCTACTTCTACATATTTGCTAAGATTGCCTCAGGTAAAGAAAGATATAATACAGTCTGGAAAACTAAAATGACCATTTACAGTGTCTGGCAGCTGCTCTTCAATCTTTTCGCTCTTAAGGGGGACATCAGGGCTGTTGTTCCTGCCTGTTGGGTCTGTGATACGCAACCATTTTGCTATATCCAGTGAACCACACAACCTTTTTTTTCTTTTTCTTTTCCTGCCAGATGGTAACAAATGAATCCAATCAACTAATTACTTTTCCTGAAGATATTTTGCCAACACAAGGTTTGCTGTGTCCACGTTGGCAGAACACATGAGAGTTTTCAAAATCACACATTATTGTTGGCGTTACGTTACGTAAACCACAAGCTGATTAAGATCCACCTTATGAGTAGTTAATGGGTCATCTGGCATTTGTGGAGATGATTTTCATATTACCGTGCCAAGTGTGTAAAGCATCCCCTTTTCCCCAGCGCTATTTCTTAAAGAAATTGAAGCATAATTTCAGCCTGGCAGTGGGCAGCCGCAAATGTAGTCGAGGCATACATTTGTGGGCAGAGAGCGCCATCTCCAGCTACCAAATAATAATTACTCTGCAGTAACAAAACAACTAATTTGGTATTTCTCCCTTGGAATAGCCATCTGTTCCACTAAAAGATGGAGGAAAAAAGCCATCTGAGACTGATGAAAGATTGAGATTTAAGCCTTAACACTATCTTAATATCCTGTAGGGAGACTTTGCAAATCCTTGCTAAAGTTTCTGAATTAAATTAAAAAGCTGCTTAAAATTGCAAGGAGCTGAGCATCCCAAATTTGTATGTTTTTGTTTTCAGGCTACTTATTCAAGAATAAAATCACATCAGATTTTAACAGAGCTAAAATTTGTACTATATTATGGTCCTCCAGCCTACAGAGAGCCTATGCATCTAATGCTACATACGATGCATTTGATAAATACTTGGAAAAGCTCATAAACGACACCCACCTCTAGTACTGTCCCAGAATGACTGGGTAGAAAACTAGTGTAAGTAAGCAATATGCAAAAATAGCACACAAAGTGCATGCAGAAGAATTATATACATACAAATATTACAAAATTTACAGATATTAAAAAATTACACTACATAGATATTATGTAAATAATTTAATTATATGAATACAAATATTACAAAATATTACATAAATACACAAATTATATAAATACAAATACAAAATAATTACAATGGTTGTATTAAGTACAAGTGTATTTCATGTACATTTTATCCCACATAAATGGTATATATGTTAGTGTGCACTTTTAAAGAAATCCGTACTGAAAAAATTAAACCAAGATATTCTTTATAGCTGATGCCTGAGAAATTGTTCTCCGCCACAATGTTAAATGACGTTGTTGCCATCCTGTTACCCAGCAGTTTTCTGTTCTTCCTAACACCAAGGGAAACCTCAGGTCTCCAGAGCATTCACAGCTCCAAAGGGTTCAAATGGAGCAGAGATATTAAGTGCATTGGAAAATTAATCTGTGAATGCGGGTATGCTGCTTTTGATAGTGTTTGCTAAACTAAATGGACAGCCAAGGTCAGGGCCTGTGAGCACAGCCTCATTAATGTCATAGAAGAGTTTGTTCTAGAAACATGTCTTAAGGACACCAGTGGCAAAGAAGTTGTCACACAATAAAATTGAAAATCATGCCTCCTCATGTGTGCTGTACAAGACTCATCCATATTAAAGAATTATTAAAGAATTTGCAAAAGCAAATGGATTACTGGATTCAAAGGACTATGAATACTAAACATGTACATCGAATAGAAAGATTCAGGAAGGGTAAAAAAAAAAAGCACCTGTTATCAGCTAGCCTTAAAAATAGCATTCCTGAACTAGGTACAGCATCTTATTTAAAATGCAAATTATTAAATTACTCTGTGTTATTTTTATGATTGTCTGAGTTCAGAAGGTATTTGACAACCGTTCAGAAAAGATTCAATTTGCAGCCACAGAGACTGCAAGATAGAGAAAGAAAGTTCATGAAGCTCTATTAGAAAGAGACCTGTAAAGGACAAGAAGGCAGACAAGAACAGCTGGCATGGATTTATGACAGGCAAATCACACTTGGCCAACCCAATTGCATCCTATGATGAAACAGTTGGCTACACGGACAGGGAGGGAGCAGTGGACACAACAGACCTTGACTTCAGGACAGCTTTTGAAATAACTTCCCACAGCACATTCACTCACAAACTGAGGAAATATGGCATGAACAGGCTGGCTGTTAGATGCATTGAAAACTGCCTAGGCTGATGGGCTCAGTGGGTGGCAACTGGTGGCTTGGCAATCTGCCTGAAGGCCCATAACAAGCTGAGTACTCTAGGGGTTGATACTAGGGCCCATATAGTTCATTGTCTTCATCAAAAACCTGGACCATGGGACAGGATGCACCCTCATCATATTTAAGATAACGCCAAGTTAGAGCGGGGTGGTTGGCACACTAAACGGTAGAGCTTCAGTTCTGAGGGACTTTGAGAAGCTTAAGGACTGGGCTGACAGAAGCCTTAACACGTTCAACAAGGAGACACACAAACAAGGAAGACCGCTCAGCCCTACACCTAAGGCAGAATAAGCCCTTCCATTGGTACCAGCTGGGAAGAAACAGGCTGGCTATCAGCTTTGCCAAAAAGGACCTGGGGTTATGCAAGAGCCAAGTCCCATATGAGCAAACAGTATGCTCTCATTCCAAAGAGGGCAAATCACACAGTAGCCTACATTAGAAGGAGTATGGCCAATAGACTGAGGAAAGTTATTGTCCCCCTCTGCTTGGTGTTGGTGAGGCCCTGGCTGGACACAGGGCCCAGTTTGGAGCTTCCCCAGACCAAGATGGGGCATCTTCAGTGAAGGCTACCAAGATGATCAGGATCTAAATCACATCCCTCACCTCTTGAAGGAGAGGTTGAGGGATCCTGGGGCTGTGTTGCCTGTTGAAGAGCGTAAGGGGTCAAATAACAGCAGCCTACAACTACTTGAAGGGGGTTTACAAATATGACAGAGCTAAACTCTCCTCGGTAGTGGCAGGCAATACAACAGGAAACCATGGGCGGAAGTGGCTCAGGAGGTCCAAAGAGGACATTATGAAACAAATTATTTACTTGGAAGGTAGTTAACCTGGACAAACTATGAAACTTTTATTTCGGATGGTTTCAAGAGCTGTCAAGACAAAACTGCAACAGATGTGGTTTACTTTCAGCGGGGACGCTGGACTCTGCAGCACCCAGAGGTCCTTTCCAACCAGCCTGTTTATCATTGTGCACAAATGTAAAGCTGATGACTTTCCTGGTCTATGATTCTTGTTTATTGTGGGAAGGTAGCCTTAAAACGGTCACCAAAAATGTTGTCTGGGCTTTATTATTAATTTGGGAGTGTGTTTAAGCATACATGCGCAAAAATAAAAATACTCTGCCATCTGTTGATATCTGGCAAACTGCAGATGTTCTTTTCCGAAAACAGAGTATTTCATTGCCACATTTAAACCATTATCTGCTATTTCAGTTGGCAATATAAAAATAGCAAAGAAATGCAATGTATTTTGAAAAACCACCGATTGTAAAGGAAGGCAGTGGGTTATTTATTCAACTTGTAAAAGTGATGGAATTGCCTGTAGCCAGACTCCAGGAGTCCCCAAAACAACGTAAAACTCTTGAGTGCTGCAACTCTGACAACTACCCTCTCTTCTCTGAATAATCACATGAGATTGCACTATTTACTGTCGTTGGTTTTTTTTAAAGTATGCTAGAGGTCACTGATGTGATCAGTTTTGACTGAAGTATGAGATATTCCTGCCTGCACGATGCCCTTCCCCTCCTTCACACCAGGGACGACTCCTCCCTTCTGCACCCCAGGAGAGGATCGGATCGGATCGGATCGGATCGGATCGGATCCCTTCCCTTCCCTTCCCTTCCCGTGAGCAGCCTGGCTTCTCTTGCTGCTTTCCTCGTTGCAGTCGCAGGCTGAGTCGTTATTACTGAACGGCTGTTTGTGGTTAATTAATCCCTGAGGAGCCGGAGCGCTGGGAATACGATTCCGCCGTACACCTGGCACCCGCCCCCCCGCGGATAGCCTTCCCCCCCCCCACCCCGGGAGGACCGCAGCT